TAAAGGAAAAACCCCAATTTTAGGGTTTTCACCCTACATAATCTCCTTAAGAACCTTGAGGCTGACCTTCCATCAGCCTCCAAACCCTAAGAACGTTTGTGCTAAACCCTAATCCCTATTCTCTTTCATTTTGTGAGCTAGAGTGACTTGTGGAGCTTAAAAAGAAGGAGATAATGAGAAGAAGGATAAGATCTAGCAAACCAAGCCCTCACTCTTGAGCTTGACCATCTTGTGGATTGTTGTAAGTCTTCAAGATTCAATTTTTATCTTAGAATATGGCTAGATCTTGAGTTTACTCTTCATTTCCTATCATTCTTGTTGATTGCATGCATGAGGTTCATAAAGTTTGCAACTTTATGGATCTCCAGGGCAAAATGGTCCCAATGTGGGCTAGATCTAGCTTTTGGTCAAGCAAGGATGCCATGCAAGAGTTTTTAGAGTATATTTCCCCTTTTTGGCCATTTTGACTTAAAGACATGCATTGGACATGCATGTCCATAAAGCCTCCATCTTTGGAACGTTTTGAGGACTAGAAACTCTTCTGGAAAGGAGGGATTCCAAATCCCTAGAGTCTTGGACCACATGGCAAAGCTTTTGAGCTTTCTAACCTTGATAAGGGCCTTAGAGCATTCAAAGTGGTTCTAGAGGGTAAAGTTGGAAACTTTATCCTTCTAGACACCTTAGGGTTTCAGATCTAAGCCCTGGAGTCCCTGCATTCGGTGTATCATCATAATGAGCAAACAAGGAGGGGGACTCGACGATTTGCTCTGGCAACTCGACGAGTCGGATTGGGTTTCCCCTGTCTACTGGATATCAAGTGAACTCATCGAGTTGATTAAACAACTCGGCGAGTTGGCTAGGTTTGTTCAGGTTTTCTGGACTCTGTAGGAACTCGACGAGTTGCTATATGCACTCGACGAGTTGGGATCAACATGGACTATTGACCTTAACTTTGACCAGGGTTGACTTTGAGGGTAATTATGGAATTATGACAAGTTAATCTTATGATGCTTATAGGAAGTTGAGTTGGAGCGGTGCGTTGGGACTTATTGGATCTTATCTTGTCAGCACAGCATTTGTGAGAGGTGAGTCTTCTCACCATACCAATGGATCTAAGGCACCAAGGCCGACCCATTCTATGTTATGTGGATTGTTGATTGATTATGCGTTATGTTAATATGACATTTGCATGGAAGACCCCGAGGGGTTCCCGTGACAGTAGTCTGAGACCACGTGAAGGTTCCCGTGGCATTTGGTATAAGACCTTGGAGGGTTTCCATGGCATCCTAGTATATTTGCATGTATAGTTTGCATTATGTCTTGTTTGGTAGTGAAGACCTTGTGGGGGTTCCCAAGGCAGGAAGACCATGTGGGGGTTCCCATGGCAGGCAGTTAAGACCACGTGGGGGTTCTAGTGGCACTAGGTGTAAGACCCTGAAGGGTTTCCATGGCTTCCTTATATGTTGTATGTATGGCTTATGTGATACGTGTAGCTTTTTTTTTGGAAGAGACCGAAGCCTCGGCAAACAAGCCGTGTGTTATGTGGATTGTGTGTAGGGTATACGTGTAGCTTTTATAGGTAATATGATATGTGTTATGTGGATTGTGTGTGGGGTATGCTCTAGGGGGACTCACTAAGCATTAGCTTACAGTTTTTGGATTTGTTTCAGGTACATCTGAGCCCAAGGGCAAGGGCAAGGCGTGATGGCACGGCGTGCACTCTCTCTCGGGCGTTTTATGGGACACTCTGATGTTTTGAAATAAAATTGTAATTGATATGAGTTTTGAAAACAATTGTATTTGGATTTCGTGGTTTATGGAAATGTGTTTTGGCTAATCAAAAATGAAAATTTTCTTTTGAAAAATTGGGTCGTTACACTATAAAAATCAAATCAATAAAAGTATGTTGCTATTTATTGAAATTACATAAAAGAGCTAAATGCAAGAAATAGCAACATACTTTCACTTATTTTGTACTATAGCATCATACTTCCAAACTTTTCATTACAACATTCTATTTACAAATTTGCTCATTTTAAGATATTTTAATATGAAAATCTACCAAGTTATAGCATTATGCTTCAGTATTTTTTAATATAAAAATCAAAGTGATATTCTATAGAAACCATATCAACAAAAGTACGATGAACATATATTATTTCAAAATATACGTAAGCCATTCTGATTCGTGTCTTTTAAGCAACCTACTTACATATGTCTTATAATACCAATTTCCTTAACATATTTCTTATAATACCAATTTAATTATTAGAAAGCATAAAAAAATGAAATATGTTTTTTTTTGGTAAAGATGTAAGTTGCTATTATTAAGAAGAATAGAAGTAGGTACCTTCAATACGGGGGGTAAGAAGAGTAATAAATGGTTCAACCATTTAAGGTAACAGCTTTTGCATACTTAAAAAAAACATATTAAATAATTTTTTGCGATGAAAATATAAAAACGCAGTCTATTTTTAACTTTTATCTCAATTGAACTCGCCTCATGTCAGCTGTGTTTGTTATTCGATCATTTTGTACGTAAAGACCGTTGACACGACACACGTTGATGTTGGCTTCCCCGAAATTCATGAGATTATGATTATGATTATATCGATGCTCAAGGGCTTTTAGTCTTTTATGAAGAAATTTTAAAATTTGCAAAATTAGCAAGAATGTTACATTGTCAATTGTTGTACAATTTGAATTTTGTTTGATTTCCAGTTTTACGTTTTGCAAATTATATGGATGCTCAAGGGTATTTTAGTCTTTTACCAAGAAAGTTTAAAATTTCCAAAATTAGCAAGAAAGCTACATTATCGACTGTTGTACAATTTGAAGGCTTTATTTGTATGTGGAACTGTATGGCATATCACCAGAATAGGCTTTAAAAATAAATAAAAAAGCTAAGGTGTATTTTGTAAACATTACATAAGTTAAAGAATTTTGAAAAAAATATTTTCCTTAAGCTTGTGTAAAAAGTAGATACACAACAAAAGCAAACATATATCCTTTTTGTTCTTTTATCTAAGATGTGCAAGAAACAAATAAAATGTGTACGAAAGAAAGAATTTTTTTTCTTCTACGATGCAAAAAATAAAAACTAGGAAACTAACCCAACAACTTATAATATCGGTATTTGAGAGAGGCACTTATTATTGATTGAAATTTCTATAGCCACTATATTTTTTTTTTTTGACATGAATGATATTAATATTTTCATTATTTTAATTATCATCGTACAACAAATGAGATGACAAACGACCAACAAGCTGCGCCTCTAAGCCTTTTTGTATGGTAAAACTAATTATTTTAAAGACCACATCCATAGATCTAGGGGATATAACATTGCTATGCATGATCGTTGTACTCTATAAAGAAGCTCCACAGCATCCGGAGCGAAGAAACCAAACATATCAATTGCAAATGGTATGAACACGTGTTGAAAATAAACAAATTATCAAATGTACATTGTTCTTATTATTTATAAGAAAATAAACAATTTATAAGAGTGATATAATTATAATGGGATAGAGTTGTCATAACACACACACACACACACACACACACACACACACACACACCCACACACACACACACACACACACACACACACACACACACACACACACACACACACACACACACCAGTCAACCCGTACATCCCCGACCATCAGGCGGATATAATAGGCAAAACATTTAATCTGAGCAGATGGTTACTATATTTGTGTCGATTTTTGTTTTTTTTTTCTTTTGGGTATTTATTGTCAAAAATTAGGTTGGTTTGAGTTTTCTGGAGTTACGGACACAAACTTTGTGAGTGTGAATACAAATTATATGATTTAATACTCTGGTTATATGGCTCAAATTAAACACATACAGAATAAGTGATAACAACATTGAATAATGAGATAAATTTGGTACATTTTGTCATGATAAAAACAAAAGACCTTTAATTTTGTAAACATAAGGGTAATATGGCCATTCACTCTAATTCAATCCAAGATTTCTTATTGCCAACCACGAGATGATTTCTTTTTGTAATCTAATTCTGATTGTATTATTGAATAATGTAATGTGGTTTTGACAGTGAAGGGAGGAAAATAAAGAAAGAAGACTCTACAAGTGGTGTGTTTGGGGAACTTTTTTATCGCATTATTTTGTTCACCATAAATAGCCATGTACACTACCAAAATTCTAAGAAATAATTACCAAAATTCTTGATTAGAGCAATGTACTTGATTTTGTATACATAAGATGTTTGTGATAATAAAGAAATTGATGGTCTTAAAAAATATATATCTGATGTGAATGATGCGAAAGACGAAAAAGAAAGTGAGTATGTATGGGTTAATTTATATTATTTCTATAAAGTTAGATTATATTTTTTGGTATCTTTCTTATTATTGTGATCGATATTTACAAATAGGTTGGTCATAATACTATTGAAGATCATATTTGTAATATGCATATCTCTATCTCTACTTTACAAGATGGTGAAGACATATCGTTATGATAAAACTAGGTTTTTAATGATATTGCATAAGATGGTGAAGACATTCAAGTAAGTTACAACATATTGTTTAAATTTTTTATTTTTCTTACGATATGAAAATATTTTTACTTCAACTGTTATTGTCAGCTATTTTGTTACATTAAGTTGTTTATTTGGGTAGATTTTTCATTCTACAATGTATGGTAAAAATTGATATAATTATGATATAGAACAACTTAAAAGGATTTTTTTTATTACATCGGTCAACCGTCCACCGGACGGGACTAACACTAGTTTTTTTGAGCAACCATACGATTTTGTGCTAATTTAACAAATTTCAGACTATCTTTTGTGTCAAACATTCAAAGATTTGATTGTGAAAATATAAAATGGGCCATACATATTATTGACAACTAAAAAACAATTTTAGAATGATTCTAACCGAAAATGGATGGTCGAAGATTATAAAAATAAAAGCAAAAAGACCCATTAAAGATGCATTGAATTATTGTCACTTTACTTTTCGTGGCATCACATGGGTCAATCCCGAATCCCCACCATCTCTTTTCTCTAATCTCACTTCGCACACGGCAAAAAGAAACAGCTCTGCGTATTAGTTTTAGCATGTAAAATTTCAAGCTGTACCCAATTCGATTCACATTACAACGGCTTGATTTCATCATTATCTTCAATTTTTCTATACTTCTTAAGTTCGTACTCGAGTTCCGAGTAATTCTATCAAAAAAATCGTGTTTGGGTAAAGCTTAATTCGTCAAGAACACTCATTTTCTTCCACTTTTCTATCTGGGTTTCGCCCCAATTGAAGCTCGGTTACAGTCATGAGTATGTACGGCAGAGATCCGTGGGGTGGGCCGTTGGAGATAAACACGGCTGACTCCGCGACAGACGATGACCGGAGCAGGAACTTGAACGACTTCGACAGGGCGGCGCTTTCTCGTCCATTAGACGAAACACAGCAAAGCTGGCTGTTAGGTCCCGGAGAACAGAAGAAGAAGAGGTACGTAGATCTGGGGTGTATCATCATCAGCCGTAAGATTTTTATTTGGACGGTTGGAACGATTCTAGCAGCTGGTTTCATCGCCGGAATAATTACAGTCATAGTCAAGAACGTGCCTAGGCACCACAAGCATCCTCCAGCACCAGATAATTACACGATTGCACTCCACAAAGCTCTCATGTTCTTCAATGCCCAAAAATGTAAGACACCACCTTTCTACTTTACTCAGATCTAATGTTCTTTTGTTTAATTCCTCCATTGTAATTGCTTCCTTTTCAGCTGGAAAGCTTCCGAGGCATAATAATGTTTCATGGAGGGGTAATTCGTGTTTAAACGATGGAAAGTCGGACAAATCAGGAGCTGTAATGAAAGATTTAGTGGGTGGATATTATGATGCTGGGGATGCGATAAAGTTTCATTTCCCTCAAGCTTGGGCCATGACTTTGTTGAGTTGGAGTGTGATTGAATACAGTGGTAAATACGAAGCTGTAGGAGAGCTTGCTCATGTTAGAGATATTATCAAATGGGGCACTGATTACTTTCTTAAAACCTTCAATTCTTCTGCTGATAGCATAAGCCAACTCGTGGCTCAGGTTAGCTTCAAATCTTCTTTCATTATGAATCGACATTGGGAAATGAAAATTCTAAATACACGATGTATCACAGGTTGGAAATGGTGATACATCGGGTGGGACAAGTGATGCAAACGATCAAACTTGTTGGATGCGACCCGAGGACATTGACTACCCACGACCCGTGACCACATGTTCTTCATGCTCTGACCTGGCAGCTGAGATGGCAGCAGCATTAGCTTCAGCTTCCATTGTTTTCAACGACAACAAGATCTACTCAAAGAAACTTGTCCATGGTGCTGAAACGCTTTGGAAATTTGCTAGAGATCAACGAGGTTTGTATAGTGGTGGTGGATCAGATGCTGCAAGTTATTATAATTCGAGTATGTATTGGGATGAGTTTGTGTGGGGTGGAGCTTGGATGTATTATGCAACGGGGAATCAGTCGTATTTGTATCTTGCTAGTCACCCGACTTTAGCTAAGCATGCGGGTGCCTTTATGGGAGGACCGAATTATGGTGTTTTTAGTTGGGATAACAAGCTTCCTGGAGCTCAAGTAAGTTTTCTTGTATTGTGTTTGGCATGCATTAGTCATGTCATGTCCCATTGACATCAGTCTCAGTCCCGTCAATGGGACAAAAACTGCAATTTTGTCCAACCCAAAAAAAGCGGGATTGAGACTGATGTCAATAATACAAAAATTGCAGTTTTTGTCCCACCTAAAAAGGCGAGACAGAGAATTGTTTTTGATCTTTTGTTTGTGTAAAAGACGTAAATACCCTCGTCGTAGAAAATAGCCCTAGAAAGCTTGTTTGTCTGGTTGTATCATGTCCCATGTAACTAGATGTGCCAGGGCAAGATTTCTAAGGCTATTTTCTACGACGAGGGTATTTATGTTTTTTACACAAACAAGAGATCAAAAGCAGTTCTCTGTCCCGCCTTTTTGGGTGGGACAAAAAATTGCAATTTTTGTCTATCCTGCTTTTTTTGGGTCGGACAAAAAGACAAAATTGCAGTTTTTTTCCCATTAACATCAATTTGGGTAGGACAAAATTTGAAATTTTTGTTGCATGGACATGAGTCCCTATCCCACCTTTAAAGTGGGACATAATGTGTTATACTGCATGTGAGTTTGTACATCATTCTCACTTATGCATAACATTATTCTATCTTGTAGGTACTACTGACTCGATTAAGATTATTTTTAAGTCCTGGGTACCCATATGAACAAACACTGAAGACGTTTCATAACCAAACAAGCATAATCATGTGTTCATACTTGCCATACTTCACTAGTTTTAACCGAACAAGAGGTAGTAAATTACTAAATTACCCCAACCCCCTATTTCCTTTCTTAATTTAACCATAAAACTAAAGTATTTTTGATGTTGTAGGAGGGATGATACAATTGAATCATGGAAAAACACAGCCTCTTCAGTATGTTGCTAATGCAGCCTTTTTAGCAACCCTTTTTAGTGACTATCTTGATGCTGCAGACACTCCTGGTTGGTATTGTGGACCGAATTTCTACTCAACTGATGTGCTAAGGAAATTTGCTGAGACTCAGGTATTCTTTCATTTGTGTCATGTTAGCTTTGTAATTATCAATAGAGTTACATACATCTTTCAAAAGTGGGCCCACTGTCGTTAATCAATTTTACTTTATAATATTTGTTAAATTTAACGTTAATATAATAATTTGTTAGTTAGTAAAACTGTAACAATAATTATTTAAAATTTATAGTTCAATGATAAAAGATATTTCATTTATTAAGATATTTAAGCAACTCGTTAGTTCATAAAATAACATTAATATAATGGGATATCCACAATAATGTTTACTTTGTATATATCTACTTTTTATAATATGTGTACCCATGTTGTATGGTTTTACATTTACTACATTTTAGAATTATAATATTTTACATACAACTTTATAATCAAGATATCAATGTTAATTTTAATGAATTGTTTACAATACTACTTTTTTTTTAAAGAAGTCGTTTTTATTTATCTTGCGATTCATTTTCTTCTATCTTCTTAATCTGTTCAAAACTTTAGTATTTTTTATATATAGATAAGTCAATAAAATAATAAACTAATGTAATATGCTAGTTTATGAATAAAACTATAATGAAATAATATAATACTGTAGTTATATAATAATGTCAAAAGGTAATAAAAATAATGTAATAATGTTGCTTGGATAATGTGAAATACTCGGACCATGTTTCCTTTTCGTTCCGTCAAGTGGATACATGAAGGAAAAAATGAGTGCGGATCTGTAAATAATTACAACTAAATGGGAAAAACCTAATTTTCGTGACTTTTTCTATCTTTTGTCTGCATTAAGTCAAAAATACCTATATATGTTACTAGATAAATTCCCATCTCCATTAAATCTATCAAGTTAAAAAGAAAATCACCTTGCTCCCTAGACCATTGTCATGATTTTGTTATTTCTTTCAATGGTTTCTAACTTAACAAGTTAAATATAAACAAAGTTTCACGATTGGTCCTTGTGGTTTCATTTTGCTGCATGGTTGGTGCTTTTGAGTTATTTTTTTTAAACAACCAATATACCCTGTTCGGCCGTTACCCATTCTTATGGGACTTGGGGTTATGTTGTTGGTGATGTTATTTGTTGTGTGTGTATGCATGCACCACACACACACACACACACACACACACACACACACGGTACGCAAACAAAGCATTCTAACCGAGATAAAAGAGATAGTTGAATAGTATCTTCGCAACCTAAGTCTCTAATTCCACTGCATGGTGCCTCTGATTTTATTCAACCACAAACCCACGCTCCTTGCTGGTTTTGCCGCAACCGTCGATCCGTATGATGGCGGACTTTGGTTGACTTTGATGGCAACAAATCTTTTTCTTCCATAGGGTATCCTGCTAGTTGCTTATTGGTCTCGTTAAATTCAAACCATCCCCAAGGCGGCGACACGATGATAGGGACATTATCTCTGTTCCTCTAGCAACAGTAACTGTCACCTCTACTTTTAAACATGTATCCTTCCGGTACGCCCTTAATGAACACAATGCCCTTACTCATTGCAATTTTGAGATTGCTCCTGTGCACCTTACTGCCGGTTACAATGTCAAAGTATTTCTTGTTCGGCCCCTAAATACTGAAAGGTTGATTTCATTTTTGTTTGTGTATGAATCCACTTTATTCGATTGTTCATATTATATTTTCATTCGGGCACAACTAGGAGAAGGGACGATGGTTGCTAATTTTGCTCTTACTTTCAAATTCGATTTGATTTCTTTCCTTCCATTTACTGGTTTGGTGAGTGTCTATATGATTTATGCTAATTTTTATGCCACAAACTCATAAATTGACTTTTCATATCTTGTTTTGAAACTTCAGTCCTAATGTCTCAGTTGCATCATTTTGTAAGGTTTTTTTGTTACCATCTTGGCTGTATAACCAAAAGCAATCTTAAGATTTCCTTTTGGTGAAGCGTCATTAGAGGAAAATAAGGATCGGGAAGTCAAGAACATAACTCCAAAGTTGACATTTCATGGAAATTTCAAAGTTTTAGTTCTTAATGGAATTTGCAATCCTCAGTGCAACGATGCTGATTTGAATTTAAGAACTTGACCTTTGAAATTTTTACGAAATGCCAACTTTGGTGTTACCTTCGATGTCCGGTCCTTATTCACATCTAATAACGTTTAACCAGAAGGAAATTTTAGGGTTGTTTTTGGTTGTACAACCAGGAGGATAACAGAAAAAACTTACATTGATGCAAAGGAGATATTAGGGATGAAGTTACAACACGAGATTTGAAAGCTCAAACAATGAGTTTGTGACATAAAAATGAGCATCAATTATAATAGACACTCAGTCAATTCCAGTTTGTAAGCAAGAGCATGGTTAACAATCATCATCGCTTATCCTAGTTGTGCCCCTAAAATGAATACATGAAATGAACAATCTCATTAAGAAGGATTAATACTCAAACGATTTCAACATATCAAATATGTGTTTAGGGAAAAATATGAAGTGCCTTGACATTGTAACGGGAAGTGAGGCGGAATCTCAAAATAGCATTAAGAAGAGCATTGAGGGCATAATGGCAGGATACACGTTTATAGGTGAAGGTTAACAGAGGAACATAGACATGTCCTTGGCAGTTATTTTTGAAGACCAATTTGATTTTGGCGATACCATTAAGCAACTTACAGGATACCCTATGGAAGAAAAAAGATTTGTTGCTATCAAAGTTGGTCGTGGCAGGAACCGACAAGCAGTGTATGTTTGTGGTTGAAGAGAATCGGTGGTGGAATTAGATACTTAGGTTGCAGTGATACTGATTCTACGATCTCTGTTATCTGAATGCTTTGTCGGCGTACTAGGAAATGATAATTTATATATAATTACAGAAATGGTCTTTGAGGTGTATTGAATTTTTCAGATTTGGTCCAAGTGCATATAGGTCATTTTTAAAAAATATCAAAAGTTAGATTTAACATCTAAAGGACTAGACCGATTGTACAATAAAATGAAACCACGAGGACCCATCTTGAAAAGTTGTCTTAAATCTATATCTCTTTGTTCCTCAGATCGACTATATCCTTGGAAAGAACCCGAGAAAAATGAGTTATGTTGTGGGATTTGGCAATCACTACCCAAAACACGTACACCACAGAGGCGCATCAATTCCCAAAAACAAGATCAAGTACAGCTGTAAAGGCGGATATAAATGGAGAAACTCAAAAAAACCAAATCCCAATATCATATTTGGAGCCATGGTTGCAGGGCCAGATAGACATGATGGATTCCATGATGTGCGAATGAATTACAATTACACAGAGCCAACACTCGCTGGAAATGCTGGTTTGGTGGCGGCACTGGTGGCTCTCTCTGGCGGTAGAACAGTTAAAGTTGATAAAAACACTATTTTCTCGGCGGTGCCGCCTATGTTTCCCACTCCACCACCACCACCAGCTCCATGGAAGCCATGAACATAAATGGTTGTTTTTTTGGATTGTAATCGTCAGAATGGCTAATTACTAATTAATGGACTTTCTTTTTTTAGAAAGAGTATTTTGATTGTATGTAGTTTGAACTTTGAATTGTTTCTAGTGTATGTAAATTAAAGTAAGTAATCTTTTGTAGTATGTGAAACAATGATAACTCGGTGACACTAACAATTGGTTTGTTAATGTTTAAACACGCTTGATTTCCATTTATTGAAACTATTGTCAAGTTTTGGGCAGAAAAAGAAATCATTATGAAAAAACTTGCAAAGCAGAATATATTTATGGCTTAATAGTGTAACGTTTAGATCTGGAAGAGCGCAGTTTTTATAAACTTGTATCAATATCTAAATCATCAAAAGGTATAAATGTAACATGCATGCATTTTGTAGATAGAGTTTTGGAACAGATAACATCAAATTATCAGATATGTTAGTGTACAACCATGCTACAGGAGAAAAATGTAGTTTACTCAAGATAAATTTTACAATGGTAAATAAATTTAAATAACATAAATGTAAATAAATTGCTATTATGATTAAAAAATAAAGTACACTATATATATATATATATATATATATATATATATATTATATATATATATATATATATATATATATATATAT